CCCAGTCACAGAGATGCTGAGCCATGGAACTATGATAACATATGGAGTAATTTTGATGATGAATCATAATACTGTAAGAAGTTTAGCCAAGAACATACTGTACTGTATAATAATACTGTAGACACCCAACCCACACATCTGAAAATAAAGAAAGTGACAATGTTTCAGACCATCCTTGACGATTATCAATGACAGTTGTCTAGGAAGGACCGAAATGTTGTTAATGTGAAAGGTTGTCTAATTAGTCTGGGTGTCTTATTTTCACTCACGTTATTGTGACTTGCTGTCTGTATTAATACCATTCTGTACCTTTGAAGTACAGAAAATAGAGTGAGGAATATGATCAACTTGTGCATATACATATATGGTATATGTAACTTGTGCATATACCATAAGTGATAAGTGACATACACAAAAATACAATTGGTGCTAGCACACTGTGGAATCTTCCACAATGAAATTGTCACTAAGTTAGCAAAAAGCAATGCACGCTGTAACACGCATCACACACACAAACCAATTTTTCATATAGCACAGAAAAGGGTCCTAAAATCCACAATCACTCAACATTTATAGCAAAATGGAAAACATCATGCCCCTCAATATACTGTAGAACCATAAAACAACTAAAAGAGTTGGTTAGCTTGGAGAAACTCATCGAGCACAAAAACACAAAAAATTATGTAATAACAATGACCATACTAGCAACCCAAAGCAGTTTCACAGAATCATATGACAAAGATTATAGGAAAGATGAGACATCACAAACGTAGCTTCCAATCTGTAACTATGCCTATAAATACAGCACACTGCCAAGTGCTTGTATGAGTAACTCCAAAAAATAAAACTCAAGTCCTGCCTGATGTCAACATTGATGAAGTTAGGCATCCATGACAGTCTTTCCCAACATCAATCACGCAGTTATCAAAAATGAGAGACCTTCATGCAAATTGCATGTACTCTAAAGTATAATTACTGTACTGGTAATCTCAGGACTTAAAGTATAGGTCCTGAGATCTGATACAAGCGAATCTAGCTAAGGTGGTCAATAAGTTTCTTACAATATTACAAAGCACAGAAGGCAACATGGAAAGTTGAAAGTTACTCTGGTTGATTAGGTAAGAGTTTAGATCCTAGCAATTACTCTTAGCAGTCCTTATTTATCCTCCACACAATAAAAATAGGCAAGAAGATATTATAATGATATAGGCTAGTAGTCTATGACTGATATAAACTAGAAGCCCATAACTGATATACTGTATACTACTAGTTTATGCCTGATGTAGGCTAGTAAGTAATTATAAAAAGAAGACACCAAGCCAGGGAGGCTATGTAGCACCGTCAAATGTGCTGGATATTAAAAAGGCGCTAAATATCACCAAGGATGCCAATACGAGAACAAAAGTGCATAAGGTGAACAACATCAAAGGTATCCGATTCACTAAGGATTATATCGTGGGGCAGTCGGGAAGCAAGACACACACTCATCCTGGAAGTCTGGACATTCAACAAGAATATGCATGAGATACGAAATACGAGAACAAAAGCGCATAAGGTGAACAACCTCAAAGGTATCCGATTCACCAAGGATTCTATCGAGGGCCAGTTGGGAAGCAAGATGCACACACATCCTGGAAGTCTGGACATTCATTAAGAAAATGCACGACCATAAGAGGGACAATGCAGTTTGGACAATAAGGAGTAGGGTGGTGTTCCATTAAGTGCCCATGAGTTTAATAGGAATGGCCAATACTTAACCTCACCAGAGACATTTCCCATTGCTGGTTACGATGGTAGGAGGAAGGCCATGGGGACACGCTACCCTTAAGAGCATGCAGCTTGTTACTAGTAACAAAAGACCAGCGTTCCTTCAAATGGGCACAGTGAGGAATGAATAACTGGGTAGAGTCGAAATAAGACCCACCTTTGCGGGAAATGGGTCAAATGGGGATAGCCTCCTTCGCGGCAGCATCCGCATGCTCATTTAAGGAAACACTGATATGGCTGGGAACCCAGCAAAACTCGACTGCATTAAATCTGCAGCAGATAAGAAACGGCCAATATTGAATTTAGACCACTACAGGATGAACAGGATTAAAGGACTCTAGAGCCATGAGGACACTGTGAGAGTCAACTACAACAACAAAGGAAGAATGACAGTGAGAAAGCAGTTGACTTAGAGAAAATTGCATAAAGTTCTGTTGTGAAGATGCATCTCTGGAGGCAGGAGACACACATAGGTGGTCAGGAAATACAGTGGAGTAGCCTACACCTTTGGCAGACTCAGACCCATCTGTGAAGACAGAGATGGAGAAGAAGTGTGAAGATATAGGCTAGTAGCCCATGCCTGATGAATGCTACTAGCATATTCCTGATATAGGCTAGTATCCAATGTCTGATATAGATTAGAAGCCTATATCAGTATACACAAACATCACTTACTGGCCTGCCACACTCTACAAGCTCCTAATTGTGCTTTCAATGAATTGTGTTCCAAATGTTTCATCTGTTAAGTAATTATCCAATGAAAGAACTAAGCCCAGAAGGCTATATAGCACTGTCTGTGTTTCAGAATATCCAGCAGTTTACAGAAATACTTCAGGATTCCAATAATTTTTGTTTCTTTCCTAATTTGTGCAACTCACTGGGGATATCCTCAATTCACAACTTGATTTCTTTACTGTTGAGTAGTACAGAGTTTCTTTGCTTTATGTAATAGAAAAACAAGTGTAGAATTCATTAAGAAAGAATCATTCTGGTTTTGACTTTCATTCTGTTAGTACAGTGAGTGTGAAGCCCTAAATTGGCAAGATGTTCACTCTTCAGACAGAGGGTTTGTCCATGCACTACAGCACAGGCATTTTATTGTGCAGATTTAGTCAGCTTCTTAGCATAGTGCCCTACATCCTTGGCTCACAACCCTAGGGACCCCAGGTTCAATTCGTAGGTTGGATAGAAACAGTTGATCACATTTCCTTTCATATGATGCTACTGTTTATCTAGCAATAAAATAAATACCTGGAGTTAGGCAAATGTTGTGGACTGCATCCTAAGCAAGGTCAGTAATGCACCTGGGGGAAGCCTCGAGAAGCCTAAGAACATGCTTCCTATATCCAACAATGGAAATTATCCGGGAACAGATCGCAAGTGAATACCTATCAAGTCAGTGATCAACAGCTAAAAAGAGTGAAAAATACTAGTATTTTATAATAAATTGTGGCTTAATGAGGCACAACCATCTGAAGAGTAATTAAAGAGGATGTCAACAAATACTTAAGGTGTTTTTTCTGACCCTCCATTATCTTTGGCACTTTGTTCTCTTTTAAGAATTCACCATTCCTGAGATAATGGTTTCATGCAAACATTGACCCATGCTTGAGGATATGGTCTCATGCAAACATTGCCCATACTAGAGGATATGGTCTCATGCAAGCATTACCCATACTTGAGGAGATGGTCTCATGCAAGCATTACCCATACTTGAGGAGATGGTCTCATGCAAGCATTACCCATACTTGAGGAGATGGTCTCATGCAAACATTGCCCATACAGTACTTGAGGAGAGGGTCTCATGCAAGCATTACTCCATACTTGAGGAGATGGTCTCATGCAAGCATTACCCATACTTGAGGAGATGGTCTCATGCAAACATTGCCCATACTTGAGGAGATGGTATCATGCAAACATTGTCCCATGCATGAGGAGATGGTCTCATCCAAGCATTAACCCATGCTTGAGGAGATGGTCTCATGCAAACATTGTCCCATGCTTGAGGAGATGGTCTCATGCAAACATTGCCCCATGCATGAGGAGATGGTCTCATCCAAGCATTAACTCATGCTTGAGATGGTCTCATGCTAACATTACTCCATGCTTGAGGAGATGGTCTCATGCAAATATTTCCCCATCCTAAAGATGGCCTAAAGTAAACACTTTCCCTACACATTTCAAAAGCTTTTACATATTAGAAGAATGTAATAACAAATTAATGGCTACCATGAGAAACTACATGAATCAGAGAAGTGGCAGGAAGAAAGATATATACAGTGTAAAAGCACAGCCAGGGCAAAAGAATGACAAGATGACAGCAAAAAATCTTTCTGGTGGGTTTCCCAAAGAACATTTACTAAAAATGTAAAAGAAACTATCAGATCACCAAGTGGGACTTGGGGTTCAGGTGTAGCCAAGGAACTCTCAATAAAGGATGGTGTGCCATTAATTTGTCCATGGTAGTGCTTCCAGGGCAACCTATGCCAACTTTTCTACTGCCTTGGTACAGAAAATGTACTAATAGTGATTTAAGGAATGCACTTTTCACTATTAATAATTTTTGTAAAGAAATGGTTTATAGCAGCCAATTGTCTATTTAACATCCATATAAAGTACATCTATGTTCCTTTATTCGGAGGATGGCGGGGTTATATCAATGAAAATTAGAACAACAGATATTCTTGAGAGATTAGTAAAACGCTTGCAAATATGTGACCTATAACTAAGGTCTGCAACTCTAGGAAGGAGTAAAGTAAATAAATAAAAAAAAAAAGGCACCAAGCCTGGAAGACTATTTAGCACCGACTGTGTTGTGAGATATTCAAAAAGACATTAATATCATTCGGGATGCCAATAATGGTGCAGTAAGACACAAGCAACATCAAAGACATCTGATAAGTAGAAGTAAAGGTAAGATTAAGTTCTTTACTTTCCTAAGATTTCACTTTCATAGTCAACCAAACAGAAGCCTTCCATTTAAAAATCCAATGTGACTTCAGAACACTTTACAAGCACTCCAAAATAACATACAGCTTTGAAATGTTTGTATGCTTTTTTTCCAGCTAAATGTTGGCATTTTTCTCACCTGAAAATATTCCTGTGGCCTGCTATCTATTCTTTGTGAGGTCCCCATAGTTTTACAAACCAGAAATTTGTGCTTCGATATACAATAATATATGTTTCGTAAAAAAATACCAAAAAGCAAGGGATAAAACACTAAAGTTAAAGGATATGTCTTTGGTTGTCATTATTCTTCATAGAACCTTTTTGTTACACCCTATACTTGACAATGATGTAGACAATATTCACATAAGGAAAATTATTATGTCACTAAAACAATCACTTAAAACAAACAGTGAAAATTGAAAACCCTGTGGTATACTTTCTATAGTTGAGTAACATTTTATCAATAAAGGTCAAATGAAACTACAGCTTTGTGACTTTTTGCTTAAAATTGTTGCAAAGAAAACAAACGATAGACTGCTGACATTAGTTGCAATTTTGTTCGTGACTAGGGGTGGCATGAACGGAATGATCGGGGAGCTGACATTTGCTAGGTCAGTTCACTGGGTTACACAGGTCTGGGTCACCTCTCTACCACAGAATTAGTTAATCTTATATATCTGGAGCCTCGGGTTGACCCAAAACCCCACCAAGGTGATGACCTAGCTGCTCCCAAATCACCGCTACCAAAACATCTATTTTTAACCCAGGCCGCAGCCCCACAGAAGAAAGCAGATGGCGCCGTTCTCCCTCCAGAGCTGCTGGCAAAGAAATGAACACCTAAGAGGCCTGCAGTCATCTTGGGTGTGGCCATGAGCTGGTTGGGCCACCATCTAGCTTGTACACAAAATTGGCCTCTTCTTGGTAATCATACACAAGTGGATTATCAATATACATGATCATTGTGACAATGGTAGTTACTAGATTTTTCACAGGGCACTGATTCATATACCACCTGTGTTCCTTACATGAATGAAATTTGGAGGTTTAGTCTTTTATCATTGGACAACTACTTAATGCAGTTACATCATTACCTTAGTTTGATTTTTAAGAAGCCAAACTTCACCTTGTATTTTATGTTTCACAGTGCAACTGCCTTACACATGTTTATATACAAAGTTGTGTAGAAAACTGTTCTTTTGAATGCAACACAACTGAATAACCTTTTTTTTTAAATAATTACTCACTTAAAAAAAGGAAAATCCATGATTTGTGCTATAGCACCTAAAATGACAAGGAAACCCTTGGTAAAGTTGTCTGGCATACACAACATGGTGACAACGGCGCTAATCTTCGCCAAAAGACTAAACACAAAGTGTTGGCATGTAAGGCAAACGCAAGTGAGAACTTCACGTAGTTATTATGTGACACGTGACAGTCCAGCTGCCTTGGCCACCTGTCCGTCTTGGCCAGCTAAAGCTATCAATATATAGAACATCTATCACAATAATAATTAAAAGCATACAAAAAGTCACAGCAATTCCAAAGGGTGTCACAATTTCTCCTGAGCCCTTGAAAAATTGGGATCCCTTTAGATTATTAAAGAGGCCAAGGCGGACAGACTTACCATCAATACAGCAGCTCACATATAGATGAACAAGGGTTTCCAAATGCAAGAGTTGAGAACTGGCCATGTACGGCAGTGTGTGTACTATGCACATAGATGCACACGTGCACACACACTCTCTGAGGCCGGAGTGTGGCCATCAGGTACATAGAACACTCAAACTGTTGTGTCCTTTCTAGCCACTTAGTCAAAAGTGGTTACATTCACACTCCTTTTATCACACAATTACATTCTTTCTTCTCTTTCCAGTAGGCTGTTTGACAAACATGTTTGTGCTAATAAGCAGCACCCTCACATTCATTTAGTTCACACTACCGTCATTGTTGTCCCTGACACAATGCCTTACTGGCTACATGACTTGACCAGAAATCATCTGGGTTGGTTCAACCATCCACATACATGCCCAGGACCACACCAGACTGTTGGGAACTGCTACCCTGATCACACCAAGGTTGTGGGGAGGGCAGTGTAGGGCTGCCAGTTACTGTGAATACGGTATCCTCTTCCTCATCATCATCATCATCATCATCTTCTTCGTCCTCTTGGGCATGAGTGGGGGCGGTGAGTCAGGAGGCCTCATGACGGCCGCCACATAGTCCGCAGGCGACGGCACATCGATGGCATGCTCGCAGTGGCAAGTAGCACCACAGGCACGGCACCAATAGGGATAACAATGTTAATCCAAGCCACCGTCGCCCGCACGACTCATCTGCTGTGCCTCCAGGACCCCCACATTCACACGGATGGTGCGCAAAATCCCCTTCAGCATCACTCATGCAGTGATATAACATACACTGTGCGCAGGAGATACATGTAAGTGTGTCAATAGCTGTGCGCACACAGTCTGGGGCATATTCACAACTGCCTCGTGAATTCATATCGTATGTAAACATCTCCTGGCAGTGTCGACAGCGAGCTTTTATGGTCTTTCTGACCCTTTTTTCTCGTTTTCTAGGTCTCTTACCAGGTAGTAACTGAGGAGCCATTTGTTGTGAATGAGTTCCCCCGACAAGCTCGAGCTGCTGTTGCTTCTTGAGAGATGTTATACTGTGCCTCTTCTCCCCTTTTATGCCTTCAACTACTGGGTAGCTATACTCATGGTGCATTACTGCTGGCTGACTTTCTGCTGGATCAAACTGAACATAGGAGTAGTTTTCTCCAGAAATTCCTATTTTATCTTGGTCCTGGGATATATCAAGGGGGTTAACAGACTTATGCTCACAATCCAATTCTAATGGCTTGTCGGGGGGGTTGTTGTTATGGGGCAGTGGAGGTCTGGGCCGGGGTGGAAATGTGATGCGGTGCAGGTGGTGGTGATGGTGGTGGTTGGTGTGAGGGTGGGGGTGGGTATACGGCTGAGTTGTTGTCCCTGCCGTAGAGGTGGCCAGGTTAGAAGTGGTGGAAGAGGGAGAGGTGTTTGTAGTGGATATGCCAGTTCCTCCCGCTGATCCGATTCCCCCCACTCCACCTCCTGGTGGTGGGTAATGGTGGTGGTGGTGATGGTGGTGGTGGTGGTGAGGGGGGTGGTCTGGGGTGGGCAGGGGGGTTGAGGTGGGTGTGTGACGGCTGCTGCTGCAGGTGGTGACCGACCCTGACGACGACCGTGACCCATCTCTCTCCACCGGAAGATTCACCGTCTGCAAATCACCATCACTGTCAAGGTTGGTTATTAATAACTATGTCAGTTCATTATTATCAGTGAATAAAATCTAAACTACAAAAGTAAAATAATAATTTTTTAGCAAATGTTTAAGGGATATAGGAAATTAATGAATAAAATATGAAGAGATTAAGAAAATTAAATAAAAACAAAACAAAAAAGGAAATGGAACACCCTAGAGATTCTTACCAATAATTAACAGACAAATTAGACAAATTATTTTAAAGCAAAGAATATAAAAATAATAAAAATTGAAATGATAAAAAATACACATGTACGAAGATGCCACTTACCATAAATACATTATCATCGCCAACATCTATGTTGAGTCCATGGCGATATGAGGGAAAGTCGGTGAGACCTGAGAATTATAAACTCATTACATTATCATACAATCAATTTCTGCGGTTCAGTTCCAATTTTAGAATGCTACACATCTTCCTACTCCTAATAATATATATATATATATATATATATATATATATATATATATATATATATATATATATATATATATATATATATATATATATATATATATATACATATATATATATATATATATATATATATATATATATATATATATATATATATATATATATATATATATATATATATATATATATATATATATATATATATATATATATATATGTCGTACCTAGTAGCCAGAACTCACTTCTGAGCCTACTATGCAAGGCCCGATTTGCCTAATAAGCCAAGTTTTCATGAATAAATTGCTTTTCGACTAAATAACCTACCTAACCTAACCTAACCTAACTTTTTCGGCTACCTAACCTAACCTAACCTAACCTATAAAGATAGGTTAGGTTAGGTTAGGTAGGGTTGGTTAGGTTCGGTCATACTGTATATCTACGTTAATTTTAACTCCAATAAAAAAAAATTGACCTCTTACATAATGAAATGGGTTGCTTTATCATTTCATAAGAAAAAATTTAGAGAAAATATATTAATTCATGAAAACTTGGCTTATTAGGCAAATCGGGCCTTGCATTGTAGGCTGAAAAGTGAGTTCTGGCTACTAGGTACGACATATATATATATATATATATATATATATATATACATATATATGTCGTACCTAGTAGCCAGAACTCACTTCTCAGCCTACTATGCAAGGCCCGATTTGCCTAATAAGCCTAGTTTTCATGAATTAATGTTTTTTCGACAACCTAACCTACCTAACCTAACCTAACGTTTTCGGCTACCTAACCTAACCTAACCTATAAAGATAGGTTAGGTTAGGTAGGGTTGGTTAGGTTCGGTCATATATCTACGTTAATTTTAACTCCAATTAAAAAAAATTGACCTCATACATAATGAAATGGATAGCTTTATCATTTCATAAGAAAAAAATTAGAGAAAATATATTAATTCAGTAAAACTTGGCTTATTAGGCAAATCGGGCCTCGCATAGTAGGCTGAGAAGTGAGTTCTGGCTACTAGGTACGACATATTATATATATATATATATATATATATATATATATATATATATATATATATATATATATATATATATATATATATATATATATATATATATATATATATGTATATGTATATACAGTATATATATGTATATACAGTATATATATGTATATACAGTATATATATATATATATATATATATATATATATATATATATATATATATATATATATATATATATATATATATATATATATATATATACAGTATATATATATATGGCATTTCTAGTTTAGACACATCATGGTGACAGACTTACCAATAATATTCCCAAAATTTGCAGCACATAAGAAAGAGAATATATTAGATCACTAAGTCAGCCCGTACAAAATGTGAAAAAAGCTAGACACAGCACTATAATTTTTGTTTGTAATATACGTAGTAAAATACAGTAACTGACAGAAATTGGTGACAATCTTGATAATTCATTAACATATGGCTAAGGAGTGAGTGATATTTGAAAGTAGAAAGAAAAATATCACTAAAAGTAGGAACTGATATTTATCACTTCCTACTAAAGTGAAACTTTATCTACTGAAAAAACCAGCATTGAATGTAATGAATGCTATTTTCTAGGCAAGTTCCAGAGGTTTCCCAGAGCTTACCAGGCTGATATGTATGTACAGTTTTAGACTGTGGCATCAGTCAATTCGATTGGAGTTGTGGTTTGGAAGCATTACATGTCTGCCATCGACCGGGTTAGACACCCAGAAAGGTGGCGAGCAAATAACGGTGAAGAGCTGCAACCAGACACAACACATGATGCACCCCTGGCCGAACCAGCTAACCAAGCATCAACAACTCCAGGACTCCTCCGGAAAGCTGCCACCTCATTCTTCACCAAAAAAAAAGGAGATGTCTGCAAACGAAAAACCTATTTCCAGGACAGAGAGCAAAACCCCTGCATTGGAGGAGAGCATGAAGCTCCTAGACCCGAACCCCAGAGGAGAGCATGAAGCTCCCCGACCCGACCCCCAGAGGAAAGCATGAAGCTCCCTGAACTGACCTCCAGAGGTCAATGCCAACAAGAAAAGAGCCTTATCAAAACAATCCCAAACCAAAGGGGCCACCACAAACCGAGGAGAAGAGAAGAAAAAATGAGAGCACCCGGTCCAACGACCAGGATGGCTTAGGCGGCGCATGAGCAGGCCGGAGATGAAATAAGCATGAGACAGCTTGCGAAATGGAGCAGAAGTAACATTCACCTCCCGAATAAGATGACAATCCTGAAACAGCCAAGAGAGAGAGGATAAAACACCTGATCCATAACCGAAGACAATCTAAGAAACAAAAAATGATAAAAGGACTGCCGGGAGACTTCGTACTGCTACCGAGACGAAAACACACAGCTGGAACACCATCAAAGAAGCCACCTGATCACCATACAAGTGGTGATAAACCCGTGTCAGAAAGACCAGACCCGAAGATCAAACTAGCAACATACTGGACCTGACCGATCCACTGAAAGAGGCAGAGCCATGGAAAAGTCCCTGGGTTCGGACACTGAGCAAGCAGTGCCAGAAACAAAGCTGGGCCGGCCACCAAGGGCCAACAAGACAACTCTCCCCTGGTAAGTCTCCAACTGAGCCAGAACCCGAAGCAATAGCTGAACCCGGGGGAAGAATTACAGGTAACTCCAACCAATCCTGCCAAAAGGCATCGACCCAAACAGCCTCGCAGCCGGGGAAGGGTGCCACACATATTGGAAGATGCCTTGACCACGCCGACATGAAGAGGTCCACCTCAGGGTACCCATGTGTCTGGCAGAGCCAACTGAACGGTCTGAGTCAACTGTCCATTCAGTGGAAAGGGGAATAAACCAGGACAGGCTGTCCACCAGGATGTTGAACACCCCTTGGATGTGAACCACCAAGAGAGCCAAACCCTGGGAACTCAGCAGACAAGTTACCTGAAGAGACTAGCCCCCAAAAAGTCAAGAACCACATTGAACCCCATGTTTCAGGCAATGAACCACCAAGGTGCAGTCTGAATGGAGCCAGATCATCAATCCACAAACAACATGAACCCTCTGAAGCTACAGCCACACCGCTGCGAACTCCTGTACCATGCTGTGAGCCTGACGGAAGGATGGACCCCTGGCCGGCCTGGTGAACACTGGTCACAAAGCCCCAGCCAAGAGACGAAGTGTCCGGGAACACATTGATCGAGGGGCTCTGGTAGGTGCCACTGCACTGAAGCCAGAAAAAAGACAAGAGAAGACTGAACAAGAGAATGACCTGAAAAGGAAGCTGGCGATGTGGCAACCAACACAAGCACCCCGGAGGCCAAACCCAACCATTGCAAGAGCAGGGGAAGGGATGGCCCCGAAGGAACCAAATCAGCCACTGAAGCCAAACCTGACCCGGCAAGTAAACTAGCACATCAAAGTTCAGACTCCGCCGTAGCTGCTCGAGCAACCGCCGGGTGACCCAGGAGCCCCCAAAAACAGCTGCAGGCAGGACTGCAACTGCAGCAATGCCTCCGGAGGGAAAGACAAGGAAGCAGCCCAAGAGTCCCACACAAGACCCAGCCAAGTCCAAGCTTGAGACGGGACCAGATAAGCCTGATGCCCCACCACAAAACCTAACCAGTCCCTGAACCCCAGATGAATCGGGATGTCCCATATGCATCCCAGAGGTCCAGAGACACCATCCAAGCAACTGGCTCCAAGAGAAACTGGATCTGAGACAGGGTGATCATCCGAAAGGAAGGGCAATAGATCCAGGGATTCAGATGGGACAAGTCCAGAATGAACCTCAGATCCGCACAGTCTCTTTTAGGGATTGGAAACAGGCGTAAACCCACCCAAGGAATGTGGATGTTTTAACCACGCCCAAGCATACCCACTCCAAGATGATCTAATGGAGTGCAGGAAAAAGAGGCCTGCCCCACCAGCCCTGAACTCCCCCAGAGGAGGAGGAGGAGGAAGCACCCAACACCACCACAGACCGGAGGAGACGACCCAAAATGCCCACTAATCATGGGACCAGGCGTGAGCAAATAGCGCGAGGTTCCCACCCATTTGGCGATCCGCGAAAGGGTCGACACCCCTTACAAGAAGCCGACCGATGAGCAGAGTAATCACAGCAGTGAGCAGAAGACTGGCACCACTGGCCTACCACAACTGTAATGAATGTACAATGAATGTACTAAATTTCAATACAGTATTTGACATTCAGTACCTTCCTCCCTTGGGTAAAATTCATCATGTCATTTTGGAAATAAAGTATGCAATGCATTATAATCTGGAAGAAAATGAGGTTGAAGCAGTTGAAAAACCTGATTTCAGGAGAGAGCATTATGGGAAACTCGGACATTTCTTTAAGGAATTTACTGGAAAGACTTGCTGTTATGACGAAGTAAATGAGGTCAAGTTTTGTGAAATACAGTATATGATTTCTCTGATATATATGATATGACAATATATGATAAGGCACAACAAAATTTATACCAAAGCAAAGATGCAAAACTAGGAAACAGGATTGGTTCGACAGAAATTGCAAGAGGGCCAGAGACCAAAAGACACAAAAATAGAAACATTATAGGAAGAGGCCAAATCCCCAAACATACCAGCGATACAAAGATGCGAGAAACAACTACACAGCAGTGAGGAGAAAGGCAGAAAGAAATTTTGAAAAAGGGATTGCGGACAAATGTAAAACAGAACCAGGCCTATTCTATAAATTCATAAACAACAAATTGCAGGTAAAGGAAAATATTCAGAGGTTGAAAACAGGAAACAGATTCATGGAAAATGAAATGTGTGAAACATTAAACGAAAAGTTCCAAAGTGCGTTTGTACAAAATGAAATCTTCAGGGAACCAGACATAATAAGAATTCTAGA